GGAACATGACACCTCAAAATTCATTAATTTTATAAAACCCCACACAAAAAGATCCTATCCGACAAACAATTAACTCAATTTGAATCAGTTGCAAAAAATCATTAAAAATAAACAAAAAAAAATGAACTAAGAAAAACTCTAATTCATCCATCCCCAATGAATAATCATTAATAATGACCAAAAGTAGCTCAGTAACCATCTAAAGAAGTAAAAAGCAGTACATACTCTTCACTATTTACTAATCTGTCTAAAAGTAAGCATCTGGATGTAGGAGAACATATATATATTCCAAAAATACTGAGATAGGGCACCATATTAATTGTTGTATAATCATGGGTTGGACCGTAGAAATAGATATAGATGGACAATATATTCCTGAAGAAGAAATATACCGAAATTTACTTCCAGGTCAAGCAGAAAGCAACCATGGTGGCGTTAGGTCAGATAATCACAATCTTGGCCTATTCTTCAATTAGCTAGCCATATGTTTTATAACTATCATAGAACTGTTTAACAACACTTTCCAGTGCATATATCTCTTAATTTTATTCATGTTTCTCATCAAAATTAGTTTGTAGTTTTTCACTCCAATGAGGGAAACAGTTCATTAAACCCAAGAAACAATTACAAGTCATGAACCCCAATACAAGAACAACAAACTCAATAATATAACAACATCTCCCATAATGATGAAAAAAAGGTGGCCAACCATAAATCCCATTACAAGTATCCAAGATACATAAAAACACTAAAACTCACATTAATCCAAATATATAAATAGAGTATCAAAGAAGAGAGAATATCAGAGAAAAGTGAAAAACAAGAGAAAAACTTTTGGGATGGGTTCAAGAGTGCATCAATAAGGTAAATCAAACTAGTTAGGGTGAGCTTTCACTGCTCATATGTCTGCTTAGGCACCTCTCCAGAAGTCGAATCTCTCCTAAGATGAATACTTCTCCACAATGCAAGAGAAGGAGGAAGGAGTTTATTCTCCTCCTCTCGAAAGGTAATTATTACCGCCCAACACTCCAATAGAGGTCGGCAAGGGCCTTTTCATCCATCTTAATAGCCTGAAATCATAGTAAATAATCTGGTTTGCTGAATGGAGAAAGAAGATTGAAAGAGAGCATAAGACCTAGGGTAATAAAAACCCAAAATTTAGTGAGAGAAGGCTGAAAGAGAGAATATTGAGGGAGGAGCACTAGGGCTAACATGAGAAATGATCCCAAAAATTTAGAGAGAGAAAGTTGAGAGAGGGTAGAGAGACGGAAGATTGAGGGAAGAGACAAAGATAAGTGCTATAGTTTTTATTTTCTTTTCTATTTTCCCAAACACAATGGGAACTGGGAGGCCCCGGTTTTTCTCTTTGGATTCTGTGCTAAATCACCACCGTCCGGATGAATGAATTGTGATAGTCGCTGCAGCCCAACTTCAAGAATTACTACCACAATCCTACGGAAACTGGTCCCTTTAGGACATGCATATATGATGACATTTATTTTTTATACAAATACATCACAATTACGAACTGCTAGATTTGAAATACGATTGTTAAAGATGTGCCGTTCTTTGAAAAAAAGTTTAAAATAATATTTTTTTGAATGTGATATATTTTTGTTTATTAAATTTCACATCTAAAAATAATTGTGATCTCTTTATAATAAAAATAAATGATACTATAATATGCAATCCCTTATATTTATATAAAATATAATACTTAAATATGCATATTATTGTAAAAATCCCAAAAACATATAAAGGCAATAAATTTTCTTCTCACAAAAACCAAAAAGAAACAAAAATCGAAGAATTTGTAATCTTGTGGGTGCCATGGACGGTAAGCCAATCCTTGGGTTCGCATTTGGAAACATGGGACTAAGTTAAGAATGCCAGGCTTGGACCAGGCCAGGGCTTAGGCCACATCACCTTGGACATGATCCATGCCAAGCTGGAATTATTAGGCATTGGGCTGCCGACGCCCGGCCCTTGGCAACCCTCTTCATAAGGTTTGCATCAGGCCTAGATCTCACGAATCCATTGAATCTCCACCATTCTTGAACCCTCAAATTTCATAACCAGTACATTACATTTTTAGGCTAATTGTTTCTTGTATTGAACACAAACGGCACCGAAAAGCTCTCTCTCTCTTTCTCTACAGAAAAAGCCTACAAGAAATCTGAATGGGCCCAGATTTTCGTTTTAGAATATCAAAGCCCAATAGAAAGCCGAACTAGTCCTAAATACATTTCCGAGTGTAGGTAAGCACGACTGGCCCCAAAACCTAGACACCAGGCCCGAGTTGGGGTGGGCCAAAATGCATGAAAATATAAAAAAAGTATAAATCCTAAAAAATTATAAAATTAAATGAAGTACATGCATTTTTATTTTCTTCAACAATTTTTTGGCCTTCCAGGACTTTTCCGGTTAAAACGGTTGAATCGGCCAGTTGACTAGTTAGGCCGGTTAAACCTCTTCTAGCTGTTTGTGAAAAAAATAGTGAAAAAAAGATTTTGAAAAAAAATCAATTTGTGACTTGAGGTATTTCATAAATACTGCAAAAAGCACGAAAAGAAATATAAAAAAAACAAACATCTAAGTTTGAGATAGCCACCGAGTACTCGAACATTGGTTATTCCTTTTTATAGAACCAAATAGTAAGTTCAGTGTTCAATTAAAGACAAGGGCAATGATTTTCTGTAACGGCTGTATAGTAATATGATGCAATAACCTTCAAAAACTATGTTATAGCTATTTGTTGATCCAAAATTTGAAATATATATTATTTTCATTCTAATGAACAATCATAAAAAAGAAAAATTCGAAAATACAACCTAGAAAGTATTTTTTAAACTCAATTAACATAGGTTATTCATTTTGGTGAGATGCTTAGATCTAGACCTTAGAAAGAATTTTTCATTTCTAATTTTTTTGGATGGCTTTATTATCATTAGATGAACAAATGTTAACAAAAATATAAATGATTTTGAGTTTATAAAGACTAAGATCTTGAAATTCACCAAATGAATAGTCTAGATTCATTTTTTGAGAGAACTCATTTTGAACATATCTAGAGTTCAAATTGAATTCTTTTTTTTTATATTGAATTGAAAAGAGTAGGTATAAACAATTTTGAGTTATCAAAATACCACATACATGATTTTCTAGATGTATGGTACAACTGTTCCATGAAATCACTGCCCGATTTCTGAATATAAAAAGACCTATTCAGAATATAAAAAGACCGACTAAAATTACACCGAAGGAACACAAAAACATCCATTCACAATTTGGTCAAAAAGTTTTTGCTTCAATTAAGAAACACGATAAGAAATATACAAGGAGCAGATGTCATTGTCTCCTTCCAAAAAGGGTTTCCATATTTTACCCTCTGGAAGACAAACAGCTTGCCACTATCAGTTTCACCCGTACCCGTAAAAACTGTGTAATAACCGAGGGATCCCATGCGGCACGCATGTGCTACTTAACTGCACATTGCGTTTCACGCCGGGCGCGGCCCCTGTTTCTCTCTCTAAAACTCCTCCACTCGTTCTTCCTCTCTCTAAAATGCTGGAGACCGTCTTTTCTCTTTTTAAAATAATGAAAGGCACCCTTTCCTACTTACTTTCTTAGCATTTCTCCAACTTAATCGAGAAGTAAACCCAAAGCCTCTGGACATGACCAAAACCGCACTCTACAAAAACAAACAGCAAAGTCTCTCTCTCTATAAAAAAAACCCCGCAACGCACATTCTCTCTCTAAAAAAACCAAACACCCCTTAGTTTCTTGGGAAAATTACATAAGACTTTTTGAAAAGATGACTTTCTAAACAATCTACCTCAAATATTTTTTTATTTTTTATTTTTTATTCTAAGTTAAACATTTCTAACCAATACCCCTAAGTCAAAAAAAGTCAATGCTTTGTTTTAAACAAATGCCTATAGTGTCTTACCGTCCTCATTTTATGTTTGCCCTCCGTGTAGGATTGCATGGTTTTCAAAAGTTCAAAGTATCATACCAATCCCATTTTGTGTCGGATCTCTTTAGTTTATGCCAGAATGCCACTATTTTGTGTTGGACCGCATGATTTTTCGAAAGAGTATTTTGATCTTTATTTTATCTTTTATTTTACTTGGTGGTATTTGTTATAAAAGTTAAATTTGGGATAAAAAATTGTAAAAAAAAAAAACCTTTATTGGGAGCGCTGTTGGAAAAAACCGGACGATCTAACTGGTAACCGCCCGATTAGATGGGAACTTGCCAGTGGTCGGTTCCAGTTTTGGTGATCGACCAAGTATTTAAAAAAAGTTCAAAAAAATATAAAAAACCCCAAAAATAATGGATTTTGTTGGTAATGTATTTTTTAATGTTTTTTGTCATTAAGGTAAAGGGTGAAAATTAGTTTGGTTATTCATACTTATTTTTACATTTTTCCATCTTGTTTTAAATATTTTCAAAAATACCACTAAACACAAATCGATTTTTTCATTAATTTTCAACCTCATTTCATTTAGATTTACTTTGTTCAATAATTCTTAAAATATATTTTTTATATTTTATAAGATTTTTTTTTGTATTGTTTTAATATATTTTTAACCGCCCGTGGCTCGTCCAAATAGAGCAGTTGAATCGGCCGGTTTACCTTTTAGGCCGGTTGAACCTCTTCCGGGCCCATGCCCAACTAATTGTTCCAGTTTTATTTTGCAAACACTGATTGGAAGGAAGTTGTTTAGATAGTATGATTTTACAAATTTTTTGTAATTTTAAGTAATTTTTTTATGTTATGCAATCCAAATCACATGATTAATGAGTGATAACCCAAATGCAAACTTAACTCTCTCTTTATTTTTTTAAATGAACTCACTCTGTCTCTCTAAACACAAAGAGCCCAAATCATATTCTCTATTTCTCTCTCTAAACAAGAAAAAAATAACACATTTCTACATATGCGGCAAGACATGACACTGTTTTTCTCTACTTTCCCTATAAATAGCAAGCCCACCAAGAGCTCTTCACTCCTAGTACCCTTCAGATGTACCTAGTCCCTTAGCAATGCCCCCACTCGCCCCACTCTCTCTTCTCCTCCTCCTCCTCTCTCTCCTCTTCCCCACCGCCAAGACCGCCACCACCAAGATCCCTGCAACTCAAACTCCAAACACCCTAAACCTCACAATCGTCAACAACTGCGCCTTCACTATTTGGCCGTCCATTGAACCCAACCAAGGCAGCTCCCAAATCATCACAGGCAACCAACAAACATTTTATCTCAAAACCCTCCAGATCGAATCCTTCGCCATGCCCGCTGCCCCCTGGTCTGGCCGTGTGTATGCCCGCACGGGCTGCAACCCCGCCCCCACCGCCTGTGCCACCGGCAACAAGCCACCCTTCACCATCGCCCAGTTCTCTATCAACCCCACCAACCCCAACACCAATTCCGCCTATTCGGTGAGCCTGGTGGACGGATTTAACCTCCCTATGACGGTGACTCCTCACGGCGGGGCAGGCAACTGCCCTGTGGTGGGATGCAGGCACGATTTGTTGAAGACATGCCCTGCCCAGCTGGTGGTCAGAGGCGATGGCAGCCGCGTGGTGGCCTGCAAGAGTGCATGCGAGGCTTTCCAGAATGATGAGTACTGTTGCAGGGGAGCCTTTGCAGGGCAGGGGAAATGCAAGCCTTCATCTTATTCGGAGGGGTTCAAGAGCGTTTGCCCTGATACCTATACTTTCCCTGCCGATAACCCTTTTGCCAAGGATGAATGCAAGGCCCCCATTGAGCTCAAGGTCATCTTTTGTCACTAAATTCATGGATGCCTACTACTTCAGCTGCTGTTTCTCTCTCTACTAGAGTGACTACTGCTAGAACTGAAGTCTCTCTTTCTCTCTCTTAAAACTCTCTCTTTTCTGCTATTTCCTAAGGCATGTAATTGTGGTGTCTTTAGTTTTTTGTTTCATTTGTCCTTTGTTTTTGTTGCATTATTAGTGTTAACCGTGCCAACCAGGACACCTTGAGAAACGGGTTATGAATTTGGAATGTTTTGCTTTGCCTTGGTTTGAGAAGTTGTTACGGGGAAGTTACCCCACAATAACCCGATTGTACACCATGAGATCTTTGTTGCAAGAGGTCAAGATTGCTCTTTGCTCCAAGCGATTTGGTGGAAAATTAGATGACATGGAATATATCACAAATAGGTTTTAAAAACTCGGCAAGTTGGATTAGAATCATCTAATTCAGATCGATAATTGGTTGGGCTGATTTGGATCCTCGTAAATAGCAGGAGTCGGCAGGTTCCCTTATGAACCAACAGGTTTTGGTCGATTAGTTCGGCTGATTTATATCCTGGTAAATATAAGGCGTCTTCCGGTTCCCATATGAACCAACAGGTTTTGGTCAATTCATGCCTGTTCTCTAACATAACTCGTTGTTTCTGTCATAGAACTAATATGAATTGGCTCATTTTTTTAATTTTTAACTTTTTTATTTTTTTTAATATTTTAAATGGCCAGTTTTAGCTAGTTCTATCACCCGTCTATCAGAGAACTGCCATGTATCCGGCCCCCCTTAATTTATTTTATTTTCCAAATTGTCAATCTAGATAGCCGATTTGCGAAATTGGATTGAAAATCCATATGAGCAATCCAGTTCACTGATCTGTTTCTTTTTAAAACCTTGATCACAAAGTTTGAAAATTTTTCTTGTTTTGGTATTGAGTTTAGTCGATAGTATACCGACAACTATTCGATTTGAAATTTGATAAACAAGAGTGATTGTAACCTCCTTATATTAAAACGGATGGTCTCTATGTGTATTTTGCCTCAACGGGACATAATGGGCTACTATATCTTTCGGGAAAATATGTTTTACTTGGAAAATCATGAAAATGTTCTTCAGTTTTTATTTGCTCCATGTCTATAACTTTTTTGTAAATTTAATTTTTTATATTTACTTGTTTGGATTTTTCTTTGGGAATATAAAAAGCGGCAGATCATTTTATACTAAAATTTGGTCCATTAAACATCGATGTTATGAAGCAATATTATCAGGATCAGGATCAGATTGGCCGTTGAATTGGTGAGTGTTTGATCCGATCAAAACCAATCCAATCATTGACCGTACCAGTTAGACTAATTGTTAAAAAAAGGGAAAGTAGGTTTTGATATAATAATTTAAAATATACAATATATTAAAATTTTCCAACTTTATTAGCTGGTGGATGGTTAGGATCTTGATCTCGTCTCTTCGGATCTAGGTGATGGGGTGACAACGTCACGGGTTCGAAAAACCTGGAACTTGAGATTGCTCTATCGGGAATCTTGTTTAAGAACAAAGGCAAGTATCTCACTAATGAGAGGAATTTTCGATGTGAGGTGGGAACCAACCTCACCTGTGTTCGTGACTTACTCGGGCTGACTCGTGTGGGTGCCCTCTAAGATCACGACGGAAAGACCCCCAGTTACTTTAGCTGGTTCGGAATCGCCTCCCTTGACCTGCAATCTTCTTGTTTTCCTGCACTATGATTAATTTGCAAGACAAGTGGGCTGAAGGGCCTACCCTTGTCTTAGGGCAATGCACAATCGTGTGGCAAAGAATGTGAGAAGTTAGAGTGATGAAGTGGAAGGTTCGAGCAAAAGTCGAAAAGAGAAGAACATTTGGTGAAGGGACAAGACAAGCATGATAGCCGGACAGTGACCGACTCGGAGTGATAGCAAGACGGTTATGGCACTCAAGACCAGCATGACGACAATACTACTTGAAACCGAGGCTGATATGGCGATGCTAGGCTAGGTTGACCCTCAATCAAGTGAGAGAATGAAAAGAAGGCATGAGACAACACTTGGTGTTGCCACCCACGACGTGGAGTACCATTGTCACGGTCTTCGGATGGTGCTAGACACCACTGCTCACGGCTGGAAGGGGAGCAGGAAACTACGGACAGTGCTAAGCATCGCTGTTGGCAACATAAGAAGGCAACGCACCCCTGCGCAGGCAGTGATAGCCTCTCATGAAGCGCACGACGATAGCCATTTGTGAAGCGCACAACGATAGTTCCTGTGAGGTGCATAGCGATAAGCATGGGACACGAGAGGAACAAAGATGAGCATCAAAAGCACAAAGGAGGCTCGCGGACGGCGATGGGCATCGAGCACGTGAAGGAGGCTCGCGGATGGCGATAGGCACCCCGCACGCGAAGGAGGCTCACGGACGACGATAGGTATCGAGCACGCAAAGGAGGCTCGCAGACGGCGATACGTATCAAGCACGTGAAGGAGGCTCACGAACGGCGATAGGTATCGAGCACGCGAAGGAGGCTCACAGACAGCTATAGGCACCGTGTGTCACACCCTAAGATTTCTAACTTTCTCGAGGTGCGACAGACTATTCTTATACTAGGAAAAATTCAAATTCCTATCAATATATATTGTAACAAAACAAATTTTTCTATTAATTAAAATTTGTACAAAGTTTGCTCAACTATTAACATGAAGTCTAGGTATACATCTGTTGATAGAACAAAAACTTACAGTGGTAAAGTTAAACAAAAGTTACAAAGGAGAATTTAGTTATGATATGACTGCATCTTCTTCACAAGCTGGTTCTGATGTGCTTTTAATTATGAGACTGCAATTACCCTGAAAAATATTTACCATAGTTTGGTGAGTTTGGCTACTCAGTAAGTGATCGTCATGGTCCTAAACATAATCATGGTTGGAAGATAGAAACATTTTCTGAAGAATGTATGTTAAAAAAACAACCTGAGGAAGAATTCGAGCAAAGGCATTTATAGATAACAATTGCACTTTCACAAATCCACAGTTAAACAAAATCCAAATGATGGAAATGCATAAAAACATTTTAACAGAAATGCATAATTAAAAGGATTGCACAAAACACCCTACTAGCGTACCAAGTAGGTCACCTATATACCCCACCAGCGTTCTGATGGGTCCAAACATTCCCTGCAGGTCCAAACATACCTCACCAGTGTACCGGATGAGTCCAAATAGCCCCTACCGGATAGGTCTAAACAATCCCTGTAGGTCCAAACATACCTCACCGACATCCCGAATGAGTCCAAATAATCCCTACTGGCGTAATCAGATAGGTCTTAACAATCCTTGTAGAGCCGATCATACCTCACCGGCATCCCGGATGAGTCCAAATAGTACCCACCGACATAACCAGATAGGTCTTAACGATCACTGTAGGTCCACTTATACTCAAATTATATCTGAAACTCTTTAAACATCAGAAAGGAACAATATCATATATGCGAAGTATCATTGAAAACATTAACATGAATTCACTTGAAGCAATTTAATAACAATCACTTCCATTGAAATATCTTTAGGTAGCCATTTAAACATTTTGTGCAATAATTTCTGAAAGGTAACAGTTCTGAAGGACATTCTAGAAATCTAACATGATAACAGTTCGGTATCAATAAAAGAACCCGTATGAGAATCCAAAATTAAATACAGAATTATCACAATTTATGAAATTGTCAATTCGTAAATGATCAGTTCATAGGCAATACTACAATCATGTGCAGAAATATCAGTTTTTCAAATAATGAGGAAGTCATTTGCATATGAATTTTACAATGTCTAAATATTCTAAATAATAGAAGGAAATCTCACAATTTTACTAAAAGCGGAAATATCACATTTATTTTAATAATTTATAGTATCAAAAATTCTGAACAATAGACAGGAAAAATAAATTTATTTCTAAGAATTTACAGCATTTAAATTCCTAATAATAGATAAAATATCATAATCTTACTAAAAAGATTATTTTTCAAGAAAATGAAGTCCCTTACGCCTAAAATTTACCGTGTCTAAAATTCATGATAATAGACAGAAATAATCATTTCATTTTTTTAAAAAAAAATACGAATTATTCTTCTAGACAATGAAGTCACTTACTCAAAATGGTGCAATAGGAAGTCACTTACTCAAATGAAGTCACTTACTCAAAATGGTGGGTATATAGGTGACCTACTTGGGAAGCTAGTAGGGTATTTTGTGAAATCCTTTTAATTATGCATTTCTGTTAAAATGTTTATATACATTTCCATCATTTATATTATGTTTAACTGTGGATTGTGAAAGTGAGATTGTTATCTATAAATGCCTTTTCTCGAAATTCTTCCTCAGGTTGTTTTTTTAACATATATTCTTCAGAAAATGTTTATATCTTCCAACCATGATTATTTTTAGGACCATGACGATCACTTACTAAGTAGCCAAACTCACCAAACTATGGTAAATTTTTTTCAGGGTAATTGCAGTCTCATAGTTAAATGCACATCAGGACCAACTTGTGAAGAAGATGCAGTCATGTCATAACTAAATTCTCCCTTGTAA